TAATATAAAATTTATTAACTAAAAATTTATCGTTTTTATTAAATAAATTAATTCCTTAATATTTATTGTTATAATATGTAATTACAAATTATAACTATTGTTATTAATAAATAAAATATGTTATTTTATTATGGATCCACAAATTTAACGTCCTTTCAGAGTACTGTTAAATATGATACTTTCTAATGTTAAAGGTTGGAGATGGTATTAAAAAACCATTTCTTATAATACAATGAACTAATGAAAGCAATCATGTTTCAATAATTCAGAAACATTAATTAATTTTTAAGACAAACTACAAACTGAAATAGAAATAGAAATAGAAATATAGTCATTTATATTGGGATATTACATTAGAATTATAACTGAAAAAACCATGCCCCTGACAAAGACATGGGTAAAGGCATAAACTGAAGCCGAGGAGTTGACTCTTAATCCTCTAGTTTCCATTTTTCTATGACAACTTTCATTTGTTTGTCCCTCTTCCGAACCTGCAAAAACCACGATCCGTTGCAAATTGCTATCATCATACAAAAACATATGAATATAAATCATCCGTCTCCAAACTCCATTTATTTCTTTTTGATAGATATGAGAGGTTGATCGGGGACAAGTGATTTGTATTCCACAAAAATTGAACTGCAATCAGTTACCTCCACCCGAGGCCTTTCCCCACGAAGCAATGCATCCATGCTTCTTTCCGTCTGAAGAAATAAACAAAGGTTAACAAATTTTCTTCAGTCCAGTGAGAAGGTGAGTTAAAAGTGAGAATCGTAAGGAGGGATCTCCACCCTTGAATGCATATTAGGATGAGATGCACCAGATCAACCCCCCATATCAAGCACGATTCATGAGTGGATTTGAGATTAAAGGTGATCAAGGGTCCAGATCCGTTCTTACGTTTCTCACATTAACCCTTCATCTCACACGGTCCTTTGCTTTTACTTCAACTATCTCCTCTCTCTATAATTGGTTTCAAAGCAGATCTTATCTATTTGGTTAACATCCACAAGGCTATGAATGTGAGCATTTATAATAGGCATATACATATTTGTACATGTAAAAACATCATATAACAGAAGCCAAGGTTTCAGAAGATGTGCATGTGTTGTAATATTTTTTTCATCCAAAAAACTAATTGGAGTGCTAATTAACGTCTCATTTAAGGTTATATACTTAAATATCCGTAAGCAAAACAAACGTTAGGTAGAAAGGTAGCAAGTTACGAAACTCATATTCGGCGTGGACATACTTTTCCAAATGGTCTTCAAAATCAAATGACGTACGAATTCTATGATGCTTCTCATCACTCTCAACTCTTAAGAAATCATATTTTCTTTACAAGGATCCTATGATACTTGTTCGGTAAATAATAAACTAGGTCTTCCAAGCCATTTATCAAATAAATACTTACTATATATATATATATATATATATATATATAGAATCGGTTTCAAACCACATTTGATTTTACACTAAAACACATGCACACCCTTGCATTTACCAAGTTACGTAATTGCATATGATTTCAGCGCAGATCACATGTGGTTTAGCCGTTTTCTTGTTTTCTTATGTTTGACCTTGTTCTCGTTTGATCTTACCCTCTGTGTGTGTGTGTGTATAGGGCAGGTTTATTTGAGAACCGTAAATATCATGAATATTCATTCATAATGAATATTTGGTTCTTAATATATTTATGGATGCGAAATGAACTTTCCCAGATATATACGAGTAAACTGTGTTTTTCGTCCCTGTGGTTCGTTGAAAATTGCTAAATTTGTCCTTCTGGTTTCGAAATTACGGTTATCGTCATTGTGGTTTGCTATTCGTTTTTGTTCTCACCCCTGACTAACTCTGGTAAAAGAATTTCGTTAAATCAAGATACATTCATCTAATTTTCTATTAAAATATTAAAATTATAATAAATACTATATTGTATTTATCATATATCATTATATATATAGATGTGTGTGTGTGTGTGTTCGTGGCCTTCATCACCTTCTTCTCCGATGCCCCTCCCCATCTTCTTCAACGGTCACTCTAGGATCAGGAGCAGCCGTTGTGGTGTCAAAGGAGAGACGACATTTTCTACATCTGACAAGAAGACCGCTAGATCTATCGGTCAGAGATGATGATGTAGGATGCATGAGAGCAGCACGACGACAACCGCAGAATAAAAGAGGATCTCACTGGAACCAAATGAGAACCAAGAACCAGAATAGATGCAGAGACCAAGAACAAAAAAATACGCTAGAGATGCAACAGTTATCATTCTCCTACCCCAGCAAGTTCTGATTACTTAAATCATTATTCTATAGATTTTTTGACCTGAGAATCTTTCTCTGCACTGCAGATACACACATAGATATACATATTCTGACTTGAGTTTTAGTTTCAGTGTTGTGCTCAACTTGATTATTCGGTGTTGATAGAAAATACAAGGTATAAGTTGAGAAAATGGAGTGATTTAGGGGCCATTTACCAAACACTTACCGGGTAAGCCCTTACCTGTTGAGAATGGAAAGGACCGAGACTCTTACCCGGTAAGAAGCATAGCAAGGACTGAGTCTTACACTACAGAAAGGGAGACTGAACTGAGTCCCGTTTGGGCCAGCACAAAGCCATGCTTACTGGATGCTGAATCCAGGACACTGGGCCAATAACCAGGCCTAATAGAAATATTATCCGGCCGGCCGGTTACCGAGATTAAGGCCCTGCCTTGGGTAAGGAGTTCCAGTTTGCAAATTGCAATTGAACTAGTCAGCAGTAGTTGTTTTCCTATATCCTACAAGTTAGCTAAGTAGTGCAAAAATTCCTTCCTTCTGCTCAATTTCTTCGGAGACTAACCATCTCATCTCGAACAAGGCTGTACCATTTGGTGCTTTCATTGTCATCATGCCTCCTGGTCTTAGAATCGTTCATGCTCACAAAGTGGGCATGTTGGAAAAATTAAATGTCAAAACTTAGGATTAATTATAGGTTTTATTTACTATTTAATTATGTTAAATAAAGAGGGTCATGGGACACCTCATATGTATGCATGCAGTTAGTTTTCTTGGGGAAGTTATAGGAGTCGATTATGGCACTCCATGCCAACCGACGTAATGTTTATCTTTGCACCGATTCATCATGCATAAATATTGATCGGTTGCTTTGTTGTAAGTAGTAGTCTTCAATATATACAAGTTGCCATTCTTCCCTAAATTACATTCTTGTTCTTATAAGGGGTGTGTGTGTGTGTTAATTCGATACTACAATGGGTTCTTCAACATCTAAGGATCTCAATCATGTGATCACTAACAAAAAAGGTTCTAAATCGAAACACTCAAATGTTTCAATGCCAATGTCTTCATCTCGAACATGGTATCAGAGCCGACGGTTGGATCAAAATCAACGGCAGGATCAAAAACGGAAGCAAGAACAAACAAGGAGGAAGTCGATGAGGATTCTTCAACAATCATGCACGATTCAATGAAAACGAGAAAACCGCGAAGTTACCAACAATCCGATCAACAGCTGTGAAAGGAGCGAGACAAGGCCAAAGAAACCAACATGCTATCGATGCATGTTGAAGGGGCACTTTGCCTGGGACTGCCCGAGGAAGATCGCCGCTCGATGCAGAAAAGATCGATACTACAAACGGTAGAAACCGGAACAAGCAGCAAAATTCGAAGTTCTCGAATTTTTGGTCCGTTGCTGCCTTATCAATAGACGCACACCGAAAGAATCGTCGTAAATGGAGATTACTTGGTTGTAGGTACGGATACGGGATCTTGGAACACGATTTGGTACGTAAATACTAAAATCTTGAAGCACATGTCTCCTACAAAGGAGATGTTCGATAATTTTAAGGAGTGTCTCTTCATCAATGATGAAGAACGTCACTTCGATCCTATATATGTGCATGGTATCGGTGAAATAAGTTTGAATACGAACGAAAGAACGTATGTCATAACTTACGTATCATTCGTACCAGTAGTTAATATCAACGTTCTGAGTATGAAGCAACTTATACTCCAAGGTTTCAAAGTGGAAGTGAGTGATTTGAAGTGCAAAATCACTCACATGTGTGACGGTTCTAAGAAAGAAACGAGAGAAAAGAAGGAATTCGTGAGTACGAATTTGAAGATATGTGACAAAGGGAAGAAGCCAATGATTGAGGAAGAAAAAATCGAGATTCGTGGGAGTTTTGTGCCTGTACATATTAAAACTCTCGACGACTTTACCACTTTTATGATTTTGGTCAAGTGTGACCGAATTGCTTATGCAAATAAGCAATTTTTCGAAAGGAAATTTAACGAAGCACTCGTATGGTTTTTTAAGATCAAGGACAATGAAGAAATCATTGTGCCACCAAAGGTATCGGGACTGGAAGTGTGTCTATTCGATCTTTACAAATCGATCATAGGTCATGGAGGACACGAAATCATCACCGTGAATGGACTTTGGAACGAGATCGCAGAGAGTTTAGGTTTTCCAGAATGTTATGGTGAGGCATTCAACAGATTGTTTATAGATTATCTTCTGCACCCACACGAATACTTTGTTTTTTCTCAGAAAGGGTACGGAAAGTACACGAGTATTGAGAGTCAGAAGTACGGGAGTGTTCCCGACGGCCCCGACAGGACTCAAGACACAAAGGGTTGTCAGGTTGACGATCGTGTAGGTACCTCGGATGGTAGATGCACCAGAGGGAATGGTCAGGAAGACCGGAACGCCACTAAGACATCAGTTCAACTCAAAGACAGCAAGGTATCAGAAAGTGTGCAAGCAGAAGACGAAGACCCGAGCATTAATGACTACTATTCGGAGGGAGACAAGGACCCGAGCGATGATTTAGCTGAAGGGTGAGGATTTTGTGGTCATACTGTGAAGATTCAATATTGAAGCTGCTTGAAGACGTTTTGACATTTAGGAGGGAGATTGTTGGAAAAATTACATGTCAAAACTTGGGATTAATTATAGGTTTTATTTACTATTTAATAATGTTAAATAAAGAGGGTCATGGGACACCTCATATGTATGCATGCAGTTAGTTTTCTTGGGAAGTTATAGGAGTCGGTTATGGCACTCCATGCCAACCCACGTAATGTTTATCTTTGCACCGATTCATCATGCATAAATATTGATCGGTTGCTTTCTTGTAAGTAGTAGTCTTCAATATATACAAGTTGCTATTCTTCCCTAAATTACATTCTTGTTCTTATAAGGTGTGTGTGTGTTAATTCGATACTACAATGGGTTCTTCAACATCTAAGGATCTCAATCATGTGATCACTAACGAAAAAGGCTCTAAATCGAAACACTCAAATGTTTCGATGCCAATGTCTTCATCTCGAACAAGGCACAAAGTCCGCACAGTAGCAGTGCAAGTGCACGCTGGCACTATGATCGCTTGCAAGTAATAAAATGGTAAAATATCGAGATCGTTTCTACAGGGATTGAACTACTGAGAATCGGAGAATTTCATGAACTTCTTGAGCATGTTTCGGTTTGTGATTAAAAGTTGGATTTTGTTTATAAAAAGCTTTAAAAGACGAAATTAGCGAAATAAACTTATAAGATAAAAGATGGGCATGGGTGTAAGTATTCCTTAAGATAAAATCAACAATATAATAATCAGAAACTTATGAGATGTTTATAAAAACTCCAATATCTCGAAAGTGAAGATTTATAAACAGTCCCCACAAAATTCCCACTCTCA